CATATTCTAACTATGATATGCTATTCCCCTTCTTCTTAGAAAGAAGTATATTAACATTGACAGGTGTTCTCATAGATTTTATCTCATACTTCTTGAATTTATCAAGTACCTTTTCAATATAATTAGATTGAGATAACATGAATCCATCCGATGTTCTAAAAATTTTATTTCCTAATATAACGTCTACAACACCTAGGTCTTTCATTTCAAGCCTATTTGTCAACATCCACTTGGTATTTTTAATGACTTCATTATTGCTACTTATAATTAGCATGTCGTCAACACAAAGACATACAATAACGTATTCACTATGAGTGCTTTTGACATATACACATTTGCCACACTTATTAATTTTGAACCCATTTGACAACATTACTTTGTCAAATTTTTCATGTCACTGCTTCAGTGCTTGTTTTAAACCATAAGAGATTTAGCAAGCTTGCATACTTTCTTTTGTTGTCCATTAGCAATGAACCCCTCAGGTTGCTCCATGTATATTTCTTCATCTAATTCACTATTTAAGNTCTTCTTTCATGATGCAAGAAAATTAAGAAATCCTAAGATGAGTTTATAGATAAGTCTCACACCATATCAGGTGTGACTACATGCCTCTAGCGAGGATACATCTTCTTCTTCGTCTTCATGTTTTGATATAGTGTGATTGCCAATTGATCATCATATTTATTTTTTCATGGCAATGATTTATCCATTTAATTATTTAAATTGTAGATATTTTCAACTCAAACCACATTTTGTCTGATTTTGCTGTTTATATGACTGTGGCTACCTAAAAAGTTTGACGGTCAATATCAGTCTTCTATAGTATATCTGTGTACTCAATATGCAGTAAAATATGTTGATAATGTCAAATTTTCTATCTGTGTGTATCACATCATTAAAGGCCCAATTTCACTTCAACAAAGACCAGTTTTATGATCTTATGCTGATTGACAACTTTGGAGGTATGATTTCATAGGTTAGTTGTAAAAGATTTTTTGCTGTTGTGTTTTGCTACCATTATCTATCCTTTTGTTCTCATTTCTTATTATATGGTACTCCCTTAAATAGTTCTTTTTGCTTATGTGCCGACTCATGAATATTTGAGAAGTCCTGCATCTGTTTCTCATGCCCGCATTGTCTACCAGCATTAGGAGAGGAGAAATTGTTTTCAATTGGGCTGTTTGCTTGATTTTTAAATGTATGTATGCCTCATATCACTTTATAATATGTTGTTTGCTAGGGCTCTATGTGTGCCTGTGTGATCAGTCTGGGTAAGCCCCTTGAACTATATCGGCTGAACTTTACTTCTATGTAATATGTTTGAAGAAATACAAGGGTTGTACTATTTTTGAAACTATAGGTTCCTTATGTAGTTGTTGTGTTCTCTATTTTCATAACCCCAACATTAGGTGGTTGTCTCTGGTCATGAATTGTGGGTTTAGAAATCTACCGGATTCATTTTATATTGATTTTAGTTGCAGTNTACTTCTATGTAATATGTTTGAAGAAATACAAGGGTTGTACTATTTTTGAAACTATAGGTTCCTTATGTAGTTGTTGTGTTCTCTATTTTCATAACCCCAACATTAGGTGGTTGTCTCTGGTCATGAATTGTGGGTTAAGAAATCTACTGGATTCATTTTATATTGATTTTAGTTGCAGTGGTTTCAAAGGAAAATCATTCATAATTGTCAGTTTCATATTTTCCTTATTTTAGTGTTAGAAACATGAGCATACTAGCCTTGTATTCTCCCTCTTGCGTTGTATATCATTTCCCATTAGCCTACGAGGAAAAATTGAAAAAAAATAGCATGTTGTCCCCCTTGTTCAACAGACCACCAAATTGTTTAGGATTTAACACCTGAACTTATACATACTAGCAAACATCCTTGCACCACATATCAGGCAAACTATTCCAATAGAATGAAATAAGCAACTTCCTTGTGTAGTTTGATAATTGTACTAAATTGATCAGAGATCCACATCATAGCCAAGTAATTGGAAAAGAAAGACAGATAACATTGAAAATGACTTCACCATAAACCAGTAAGNTGAGCATACTAGCCTTGTATTCTCCCTCTTGCGTTGTATATCATTTCCCATTAGCCTGAGAGGAAAAATTAAAAAAAATAGCATGTTGTCCCCCTTGTTCAACAGACCACCATATTGTTTAGGATTTAACACCTGAACTTATAAATACTAGCAAACATCCTTGCACCACATATCAGGCAAACTATTCCAATAGAATGAAATAAGCAACTTCCTGGTGTAGTTTGATAATTGTACTAAATTGATCAGAGATCCACATCATAGCCAAGTAATTGGAAAAGAAAGACAGATGACATTGAAAATGACTTCACCATAAACCAGTAAGTGGGTATTACAAGGAAACTAACCTACTTTCTTTGATTCCTTTTGTAATTATTGATCTAACATTTAGTACCGAGTCTTGTTAGAGGAACAGTCTACAACACATCAAATCAAAAATTTTAATTTGAAAATGGTTCATGTGTAACGCACGTGTGCACTAACTAGTAATGCTTATATNTTACAAGGAAACTAACCTACTTTCTTTGATTCCTTTTGTAATTATTGATCTAACATTTAGTACCGAGTCTTGTTAGAGGAACAGTCTACAACACATCAAATCAAAATTTTTAATTTGAAAATGGTTCATGTGTAACGCACGTGTGCACTAACTAGTAATGTTTATACNGTCTTGTTAGAGGAACAGTCTACAACACATCAAATCAAAATTTTTAATTTGAAAATGGTTCATGTGTAACGCACGTGTGCACTAACTAGTAATGCTTATATATATCAATAGTCTCATATTTACTTATAATTAAATAAACATAACAGTATCTTGTGCAATCATCAATAAAAATAATATAATATTTTTTACCACCTCTTGTTTGCACAAACTTTAAGTCACAAACATCATTGTGAATTAATTCAAGAGGTTCAATACTTCTTTCAATTGACTTGAAAGATGTTCTTGTCAACTTTGATTCCACACAAGTCTCACATTTATGATTTGGATTAATAGACATCTTAAACAAATCATTCAAATTAACTAATCTTCTAATTGCATCATAATTTACATTTCCTAGTCTAGCATGCCATATATTAGAAAACTCAAGCAAATAAGAAGAATTTATCTCATTCTTATTATTAGAAGATGTGGGTACAATAATCATTATATTGAGCTTAAAAAGTTCATCACTCATGTAACTCTTGCATACAAACATCTCATTCTTAGAGAGTACAAATTTTTCAGATAAAAAGACTAAAATAAAGCCACTCTTGCTAAGCAAGGAATCGGACACTAGATTCTTGTGAATATCTAGGAGATGAAGCACTTCATTCAAGGTGAGTTCGTGGTCAGATATCATCTTGAATATCACCTTATCACTTCTTTCAACCTTGGAGGTAAAGAAATTTCTCATATAGAGTTGTTCATCATTCTCTAGTTTTTTTTATAAGTATAGAACATCTATTTGTTGGAATAGATATGTTGAGTAGCGTCGGTGTCCACCCATCACTCTTTAGGGTTACCCACTAAGTTGTATTTTGAAACAACTACAAAGAGATTCATGTCGTTGATTTCCATAAAAAGCTTGTCCATTTCAGTCATGTTTGCTTGAGAATTAAGCTTTTTGAAATTCTTTGGCTTACGCCTATCTTTTGATATATGCCCCGGTTTGTCACAGTTGTAGCACTTGCCCTTGAATTTATTCAATCCTTGATTTGGACCTTCAACATTGTGCTTTACTTTCTTGTTAGTCTTGGCTCCACTTTCAACTATGTTGGCCTTAGATTTCATAGAATTAAAACCTTTACTTTTCTTCTCGGATATATGGTTATACTCCCCCCAATCCTAAAGCGAACAATCAATTCTTCAAGTTTCATCTCTTTGCGCTTATGCTTGAGATAATTCTTGAACTCCTTCCATATGGGTGGTAATTTCTCCACAATTGCCACCACTTGAAATGACTCACTAAGAGACATACCCTCGGCATGGATGTCATGAAGGATTACTTGAATTTCTTGAACCTGAGAGATAACAGTTTTAGAATCTACCATTTTGAAATCCAAGAATTTACTGACAATGAACTTTTTTGTGCTGGCATCCTCGGTCACNCTTGAAATGACTCACTAAGAGACATACCCTCGGCATGGATGTCATGAAGGATTACTTGAATTTCTTGAACCTGAGAGATAACAGTTTAGAATCTACCATTTTGAAATCCAAGAATTTACTGACAATGAACTTTTTTGTGCTGGCATCCTCGGTCACGTACTTTTTATCCAAGGACTCCCAAAGTTCTTTCGCAGTTTTGACTGCAATATACACATTGTATAATGTGTTGTCTAACCCATTGAAAATGTAATTTCTACACAAGAAATCTGCATGTTTCTAAGCATCCACAGTAGCCACCTTTTTCATATTTGTTTCATTCACATCAAGTGAACATCTTCCTTAAGAATCTTTGCAAGATTAAGGGTGGTGAGATATAAAAGCATCTTAAATTGCCAATGTTTCAAGTCTAAGCTATTGAACTTCTCGGGCTTCTTCCTATGAGACACACTCACGGTTGTATGAACAACAGTAGAAGGAATAGAATCATTTGAAGTTGTTATTTCTGTTACACAAACAGAAACAATAATTTAATGCTAAAATAAATAGTCTAACATAATCCACAATTCTAATTTGTGATAGGTATAGTAATTAATGACAGTAAAACAGTAACAGAATACAAAATTCTGTTTTAGACTTATAACAATACTTAATTTAATTATAAAACACAAAATCTATNAAAGGAAACAAAATGCTGTCAAAGTGAGAAATCATATAATGGTCCACAACAACATTTACCAATGATGGTTCGAAATTTTAGTTTCTAGTAAACAACTTACTGTTTGTACGGAATCCTTCAGATCCTTCAGGAATTCCTCTACAACTGGTCCATGTTGAAGGGTCACACAGATATGTATACTGATGAATGCACATAGAAAACTAATTTCAGAACAATTAGACACATGAAGGTAAAACTAAATATAAACTTCCTTCATCACTCCCTAGAGCAGGCTTCTAATGTATAACCCATTCAACCATGGGAGCTGATGATTAACTAGTTAGAAACGTCCAATCAAATCAAAATATTGAGATGCCATATAACTTCATGCTTCAGACAGTGATCAGCTACCCCAATTTGCATTGGAGTGACTTTCATAATAACCTATCTCTACATGCGTCAAAATTAAGAATTCCCTTGCATCAATAGTTCACCTGTTGGGTCTCTGCAATGCATTCAAATGCCAGCCTTTAGATGACAATATGTCATTGACTTCAAATATGTCTACAGCATCGGATCCAAAAGCCACAATTGTCATGTCAGGCCTTCCAATGATAAACAATTCAGGAATCTCTTTTATTCTGCATAATGGGTGACAGCAATGTCCAGCAGTCAGATTTTGAAACGCTATTAGTAATTTTAACCTTCCCAAAAAGGTTTAGCACTATATACCCTTTTTGTATTCTCTTTGATACTTCCATGATCACTCGTGTGTTCTCCAAGTAACCTGCAAAGTGTAACGGAAAATTAGTTAATCCACAAACCATATATTTGATATAATATATGGTTATGACTAATGAGAAGATCACCTTCTAGTCCTAGAGACATCATTGCTGCCCAAGCCCCCGCTATCAAACTCCCAGGCCTGCTTCCAGCAATGGTTGGGGACACATAAAGTCCACCAGACCACTCAGTAACTATAGCATGAAACAAAACAACACAGATGCATGGTACCATGAGAAACTAATAGACAACTTAGCCAAGACATCAATATTTCCTAACATTCAGAAAAACTGACATATAATAATGTCAGGCCACCATTAAGACGAGTGTGGCCAAACACTTGTAATTTGACATTGCTCTCTTATTTGATTTCAAATCTTGTTTTCATATGATTATCCAAATCAAATTAGATACTCAAAGTGTTTTATCTTCCACACTCTCTTATCAAAGACATCATTTTGAATAAAAGAAAATAACTTACCAGCAACAAATTGATGCTGTTTTCCGGAAGCCAAGAAGTTATCCAGCATGCAATTGTTTAGTTTCCCGCAAAAACAAAGATGCCACCCAAAAAACACATATAAGAACTTAACGGGGGACAAGGAACCAATAACATACTAATGTTTAGCCACTGCATAATGTGCACGATTTAAGTGAAAAGTTTACATTAAAGTCAGAAACAAGTAAGCCTCTTACAACTGATAAAATCACAGNTGTAAAACACAATCTCCTTGAAACAAATTTGCTCCCTCTCGATACTCAAGGTAGATGAGTAACTATCTTCCAAGATATAATGAATTTTTCCTTCTTGAAGAAGCAGCACTACAATCTTCAAGATTCTAGCAAACACAACTTGTGTTTATACTTGAACTGAACCAAAAGAATAATGCAACAATATGCAGAGAGAGAGGGAAGAAATTTTGAAACTAGAATTTAGAATAGGATGGATTGAAATTGCAAAAGGGCAGTCTATTTATAAATCATTGGTGGCTGTTCAGATTGCCTGAAAAAGCATGAGTTGCCACTATTCAGATTAGAGAGACACTCTTTAATCTGAACTGGCAATAGGCATCTCTTGGATGAACAAGCTCTCGAGAAACAGACACATGGAATGAAATCAAACCCCTTTTAGCACCAAATTCAAAAGGTATCGGATAGAAATTTAAAATTTTAGTTGGATTTAAATTTCAGTTGAAATTTTTAATTCTAATCCGATTGATTTGACCCATGACCTGCACTGCTCCAAATAAAATTTGTTCAAAAAGATTATAACTCTTTAGCCCAAGCCCAAGCCCGATCAGGTTGTGTCATGGCGAGCGAGCGAGCAAGCAGTGCGCATGTGATAATCAAAATAGTGTATGTACTTGCTCTGTTCACAAAAGTGTAGTACCCCTTGAGACCCAAACTCATGAAGCCAACTAAAAATATATTAGCTCACCAAAGTGTTGATTTTCTTTCAATGTAAGACAAGTCTTATTTTATTATACCAATCTTAGTTTATTTTATTAATTCAAATAAGTCACTTTGAGACATAATTTCTCATTCAAATCTTAATGGTTTTAGATAATAAATATACTACGTTAATCTCCTCCTGAAGGAGAACGCGTTTAAACTTAGCCTACTAATTTCGAGGTTTGGGTCCCACTTTTATTTAAGTATAAATTCACTCAAATAATTTGTATAAAACCATTTTTTTCCAACTGATTAAACCTATCTGCGGTGCCCCTATCGAGCGCCTGATTAGTGGCACGGCATTCGTGCATAACTCAATTAGTCCTCTTTCTATTGGGAGGACGTCTATTGTTGAAGACCAGAGTTTTCTTCATACCAAACTCATTCTTTTACCAGACTTTAGGAACGGATCCTTACCAGTGACCTTCTTGTTCAATCTCCGTCCATTCTGATACTAATCCATCTCCCATTAACGAAGTCGGCGTCGGCGAAGACAACTCGATCTTAACTCCGGCAGCCCTTTTTGTTTCGCAGGCTCTGTTTTAGTTCAGTAATCGGAGGACAGAGAGAAGAAAATGATGTAAGTGATGGGTCGGACTTATTTTAGAGTTGGGATTGAGGTGTTTTCGTTGGGCCACAACTCATAAGGTGTGTGTCACGTATGTGTATATATGGGTCATATGCTGTTTGTGCATATGTGATGTGTTTTTAACTTTTTGCTATACGAATTTTAGGGGGTCAAACTAAGAGAAAATGTCTAATATAACCATGAAAGGGTATCGTTGTTATTACGTAATATCATCCTTTAATAACAAATAAATATATAAAATAAACCTTACTTTAACAACTTCACAAACTACCTCAAGTGAAAAGTAAAATTCATTTGTATATTAATTAATGATGACATCAATTAACAATAGAGATAAGATGTCATCATTACATTACACATTTACTCGTCTAACTATGGTAACAATTTTTTAATTTTTTCTTTCTTTTATAAAAGCAGTATAAAATTTTTATAGTTATTTCTTTTTATTTTAAGCAATGACATTTCATGCCCAAGTTATTCATATTCATGTTAATATATAGTAACACAAAGAGTTCGAATTGTAAAAATAATATCTCCAGTTGTGAAGATAAAACTAAACACATTTAACATTTTCTAAAACCTCAAATTAGCGAAAGTCTTGCACCCTGTCGAAGTCACGAAGTCAGGACGACCTTTTTCTTCTTCTTTCTTTCTTTCTTTTTTTTTTTTTTTAATGTAGCAACAACATGCATAACTGGCTGCATATGGTACAACATTTAGTTAAGAACGACAGAGTAGTTCACTTTGGGATACCAGAGAGGACTGCACAACTTGCCCCAACCCCACGCCAAGACCAACAACTAGATTCCTTGATTATGTACACTGTGCAGCGTAGACTCTGGTGTCTCACTGAGGAAATGGCTTAGGGAGAGACCTGGGATTCAAATGTCAGCTCAATTGGGCCCCTGGCTTAGTTTTTTTTTTCCTATTGTTTTATTTCTATTTTTGCTCGTCTGAACTTATTCCCTATTCTCCCCCCTTTTCCTCAGAGTATTCCTCCACCAAATATCAAAACATGCAGGGCCAATCCAAGAAAAACTTGATGAATATCAATGTTGAATTTGTTTCTTTCATGCTTTTTACATAAGAATTATTCAACAACAGGAATGATTGTAACAAACAGAAGGAATTAAGAGTAAAAGAATGCCACTAGCATGTACTGTCCATGAAATCTACCAACAAATCCTTAACCAGAACTCTGTCTGGCATCTTCCCTGCAGCACCATATATTGGAGCAAGCCCTCCACTTACCGGACCTGGATTTTCTTTTACCTGAAAGGAAACAAAATGCTGTCAAAGTGGGAAATCATATAATGGTCCACAACAACATTTACCAATGATGGTTCGAAATTTTAGTTTCTAGTAAACAACTTACTGTTTGTACGGAATCCTTCAGATCCTTCAGGAATTCCTCTACAACTGGTCCATGTTGAAGGGTCACACAGATATGTATACTGATGAATGCACATAGAAAACTAATTTCAGAACAATTAGACACATGAAGGTAAAACTAAATATAAACTTCCTTCATCACTCCCTAGAGCAGGCTTCTAATGTATAACCCATTCAACCATGGGAGCTGATGATTAACTAGTTAGAAACGTCCAATCAAATCAAAATATTGAGATGCCATATAACTTCATGCTTCAGACAGTGATCAGCTACCCCAATTTGCATTGGAGTGACTTTCATAATAACCTATCTCTACATGCGTCAAAATTAAGAATTCCCTTGCATCAATAGTTCACCTGTTGGGTCTCTGCAATGCATTCAAATGCCAGCCTTTAGATGACAATATGTCATTGACTTCAAATATGTCTACAGCATCGGATCCAAAAGCCACAATTGTCATGTCAGGCCTTCCAATGATAAACAATTCAGGAATCTCTTTTATTCTGCATAATGGGTGACAGCAATGTCCAGCAGTCAGATTTTGAAACGCTATTAGTAATTTTAACCTTCCCAAAAAGGTTTAGCACTATATACCCTTTTTGTATTCTCTTTGATACTTCCATGATCACTCGTGTGTTCTCCAAGTAACCTGCAAAGTGTAACGGAAAATTAGTTAATCCACAAACCATATATTTGATATAATATATGGTTATGACTAATGAGAAGATCACCTTCTAGTCCTAGAGACATCATTGCTGCCCAAGCCCCCGCTATCAAACTCCCAGGCCTGCTTCCAGCAATGGTTGGGGACACATAAAGTCCACCAGACCACTCAGTAACTATAGCATGAAACAAAACAACACAGATGCATGGTACCATGAGAAACTAATAGACAACTTAGCCAAGACATCAATATTTCCTAACATTCAGAAAAACTGACATATAATAATGTCAGGCCACCATTAAGACGAGTGTGGCCAAACACTTGTAATTTGACATTGCTCTCTTATTTGATTTCAAATCTTGTTTTCATATGATTATCCAAATCAAATTAGATACTCAAAGTGTTTTATCTTCCACACTCTCTTATCAAAGACATCATTTTGAATAAAAGAAAATAACTTACCAGCAACAAATTGATGCTGTTTTCCGGAAGCCAAGAAGTTATCCAGCATGCAATTGTTTAGTTTCCCGCAAAAACAAAGATGCCACCCAAAAAACACATATAAGAACTTAACGGGGGACAAGGAACCAATAACATACTAATGTTTAGCCACTGCATAATGTGCACGATTTAAGTGAAAAGTTTACATTAAAGTCAGAAACAAGTAAGCCTCTTACAACTGATAAAATCACAGATGACCTAAACCAGAATATCATTATCTTAAACCAAGCTGCATTCAATTGTTTTATTGAATATATAATCACCTGAAGCAATATTATTTTGTTACACCAAGCTGCATTCAACTGCTCTATTGTATATATGCTCCAAGACAGTGGAATGATGAAGCAGGATTTTGTAGCTACGCATATATTTACGACCAGGTGTTGCTGAATTTACTTTAGTGGAGATAAAGTAGGAGTCTTGTCATTATATGGACCAACATTGGAGATAAAGTAGCCAGGTAGCATGATTAAGTTATCTTTCAATGCCATCATATCTAAATGGTTTCTAGATAATTATAAATAATTTCACTAAGAGAAGGTACGATCATTAAACAGTACAAAAACCACAAATACTCCAGAGAGTTGGGTTTCAAGAAATAAGACCAGCAAATAAACAAATGTCGGGGTTCAAGAATGGAATATATGATTAGAAGGTTCTTATTGAGACAATATTACTCATATTCCAAAGTTTTCGTCCACTTTATCTTTCTTTCTTTTTTTCTTTTTTTCTTTTTTTTTGATAGCATCAAACAACTAACAGATTACCTTCCGAATATCATGATTTCNTATTGAGACAATATTACTCATATTCCAAAGTTTTCGTCCACTTTATCTTTCTTTCTTTTTTTCCTTTTTTTTTTTTTTTGGATAGCATCAAACAACTAACAGATTACCTTCCGAATATCATGATTTCTGTATAGAACTACACTTGTTCCTTTCGGAGCTAACCCATACTTATGTACATCCACTGATATTGAGGTTACACCTTCAACAGAAAAATCAAAAGGTGGAACAGGGTACCTGAAAGAATGGATTAAATATTCACAGCCAAAATTAACAAGAAGCCAGAAGATTAATCATTTAGTGGATTGATCCCTATTATTGGCAAGTTGNCAAGCCCTCCACTTACCGGACCTGGATTTTCTTTTACCTGAAAGGAAACAAAATGCTGTCAAAGTGGGAAATCATATAATGGTCCACAACAACATTTACCAATGATGGTTCGAAATTTTAGTTTCTAGTAAACAACTTACTGTTTGTACGGAATCCTTCAGATCCTTCAGGAATTCCTCTACAACTGGTCCATGTTGAAGGGTCACACAGATATGTATACTGATGAATGCACATAGAAAACTAATTTCAGAACAATTAGACACATGAAGGTAAAACTAAATATAAACTTCCTTCATCACTCCCTAGAGCAGGCTTCTAATGTATAACCCATTCAACCATGGGAGCTGATGATTAACTAGTTAGAAACGTCCAATCAAATCAAAATATTGAGATGCCATATAACTTCATGCTTCAGACAGTGATCAGCTACCCCAATTTGCATTGGAGTGACTTTCATAATAACCTATCTCTACATGCGTCAAAATTAAGAATTCCCTTGCATCAATAGTTCACCTGTTGGGTCTCTGCAATGCATTCAAATGCCAGCCTTTAGATGACAATATGTCATTGACTTCAAATATGTCTACAGCATCGGATCCAAAAGCCACAATTGTCATGTCAGGCCTTCCAATGATAAACAATTCAGGAATCTCCTTTATTCTGCATAATGGGTGACAGCAATGTCCAGCAGTCAGATTTTGAAACGCTATTAGTAATTTTAACCTTCCCAAAAAGGTTTAGCACTACATACCCTTTTTGTATTCTCTTTGATACTTCCATGATCACTCGTGTGTTCTCCAAGTAACCTGCAAAGTGTAACGGAAAATTAGTTAATCCACAAACCATATATTTGATATAATATATGGTTATGACTAATGAGAAGATCACCTTCTAGTCCTAGAGACATCATTGCTGCCCAAGCCCCCGCTATCAAACTCCCAGGCCTGCTTCCAGCAATGGTTGGGGACACATAAAGTCCACCAGACCACTCAGTAACTATAGCATGAAACAAAACAACACAGATGCATGGTACCATGAGAAACTAATAGACAACTTAGCCAAGACATCAATATTTCCTAACATTCAGAAAAACTGACATATAATAATGTCAGGCCACCATTAAGACGAGTGTGGCCAAACACTTGTAATTTGACATTGCTCTCTTATTTGATTTCAAATCTTGTTTTCATATGATTATCCAAATCAAATTAGATACTCAAAGTGTTTTATCTTCCACACTCTCTTATCAAAGACATCATTTTGAATAAAAGAAAATAACTTACCAGCAACAAATTGATGCTGTTTTCCGGAAGCCAAGAAGTTATCCAGCATGCAATTGTTTAGTTTCCCGCAAAAACAAAGATGCCACCCAAAAAACACATATAAGAACTTAACGGGGGACAAGGAACCAATAACATACTAATGTTTAGCCACTGCATAATGTGCACGATTTAAGTGAAAAGTTTACATTAAAGTCAGAAACAAGTAAGCCTCTTACAACTGATAAAATCACAGATGACCTAAACCAGAATATCATTATCTTAAACCAAGCTGCATTCAATTGTTTTATTGAATATATAATCACCTGAAGCAATATTATTTTGTTACACCAAGCTGCATTCAACTGCTCTATTGTATATATGCTCCAAGACAGTGGATGATGAAGCAGGATTTTGTAGCTACGCATATATTTACGACCAGGTGTTGCTGAATTTACTTTAGTGGAGATAAAGTAGGAGTCTTGTCATTATATGGACCAACATTGGAGATAAAGTAGCCAGGTAGCATGATTAAGTTATCTTTCAATGCCATCATATCTAAATGGTTTCTAGATAATTATAAATAATTTCACTAAGAGAAGGTACGATCATTAAACAGTACAAAAACCACAAATGCTCCAGAGAGTTGGGTTTCAAGAAATAAGACCAGCAAATAAACAAATGTCGGGGTTCAAGAATGGAATATATGATTAGAAGGTTCTTATTGAGACAATATTACTCATATTCCAAAGTTTTCGTCCACTTTATCTTTCTTTCTTTTTTTCTTTTTTTCTTTTTTTTTGATAGCATCAAACAACTAACAGATTACCTTCCGAATATCATGATTTCTGTATAGAACTACACTTGTTCCTTTCGGAGCTAACCCATACTTATGTACATCCACTGATATTGAGGTTACACCTTCAACAGAAAAATCAAAAGGTGGAACAGGGTACCTGAAAGAATGGATTAAATATTCACAGCCAAAATTAACAAGAAGCCAGAAGATTAATCATTTAGTGGATTGATCCCTATTATTCCCTTGGTGTCAAAACTTATCATAAGCACACATTGAGTTTGGTACATAAACTAAATTTATTCTGGAAAAAAGAGGATACTACAACATAGTTCAAGTACACACCCACAGAACAGGGCCACAGAGAGCCCAACTCCTAAAAGAGTAGCTGGATACACCCTAGCCTACTAAAGGTGTTATCATAAGCCNTCAAGTACACACCCACAGAACAGGGCCACAGAGAGCCCAACTCCTAAAAGAGTAGCTTGATACATCCTAGCCTACTAAAGGTGTTATCATAAGCCTACAGTTAAACACACAAATGAGAGGCACCAAGTGAACCAGAAGTTGTCTCATGTTGAAGAACCGCCAGGTTATTTTCTAGCAGGATTAACTAACTCCACAATTTACATGTAGAGTGATGAACCCTTTATTGTCACAGATGATGCAGTGAGGGTGCTCCTCTTGAAACTGCACCTATTTGCCCATCACATAAAGCATATCAGCTTTAAATGGCACTGACCATCTAATCGGATTACTTCAACTTCATTCCACACCCCCATAAAATTAACCCATGAATCAACATTGCACCTACAAACTGCTTTTAGTTTGAGTTCAAGGATAACAAACATCATGTAATAATGTGGCAATTAAGGATCTTTATAGCCATTATCACATTATCCAAGAGACAGGGACAAAGGTTTGGGTTGGGGTATCACATAATTTAGTAGATCATTGAGGACAATGAGAGAATACATATTAAGACAAACTGGCATAAAAGTGGAAATTGCACCTCCAGGATAGCACACCACAATCAACAAATTAGCTTGTGATAAAAGTATCAGTCAAGGGATAGTTCCAGACAGACATACCCAAGTTTACGAGCAAAAGGCAACACAAAGCCACCAAGACAAAGATCAACATGGAAACAAATTCCAAAACTAGAAGCTAACTGACCAAGCTCCTACATAAGAAATTGTCGTGTTTCATAAGTGAACAATATAAAGAATGATCAAATTTCATGCGAGGAAGTGTCATATACCTCAATTGGGTCAATGATGCCATGTGGGAAACCGGGTGCGGATCCAACAATCTGTAGATTCACAAATTTCAAGTTGAGTTCAAAAAAATGCACAGTTGGATACGACTCTCAGAAAGCAAATCCCAAAACAACATGCCAAGACTTAGAAGTTCAGAAGTTCATTTTGTCGGAAAAGAATAAGCACAGCATCTAGGAGAAGGCAACTAGAATAAAACCAGTGAGCAGGCCAATGTTAAAAACAACAACCATACCAATATGGTGTTTTTCTTAATACGTCGTTTGATAGCCTTGACATCTGCTTGAAATTCTCTAGTCACAGGGACACGACACAACTTGATGTTGAAATATTGTGCAGCCTTATCATATGCTGAATGGGCTGATTCTGGTATTATCCTATGATTAGGAAGAAACTCAGAAGTTCACTCCATAAAAATTATTCACATATCACATACATATTAACCATTACATTTATTTACCGAAAAAAAAAAAAAGAACACCAACTTACATTTCGGGTCTCGTGATTCCCTTCTTAGATTTCATATAGTCACGTGATGACTTCAAAGCTAATAATATGCTTTCAGTTCCTCCTGATGTCATGTTTCCACACACTTGCCCTCCATAAGCCTTTTCTTTACTTCCAAGCAGTGCAGCTGTCATTGCAACTACTTCAGCTTCAAACCTTACAACACTCTGGAACACATCCAGATGCAGTGGATTGGTATGTGCAAACCTGAGGTTATTCACAAGAAGGCATAAGAGATGGAAATTCTATAGATCAGATTCCGAGATTTTTTCTTTTTTTGTGGGTCGATAAAAGCAGGATTTTCACCACAATAGAGATGCAAATCACTTCAACCGTACTAACATTGAACATGCCTCATTTATCAAAGAGAAATGTCCTTCAGACTCACTTCCTCCAATATAGCTGCACAAATATAATGAAGTTAAAAAACAAGTAATCCAAAAGAAACAAATATAGAGTAGATAGAATTTTGCAACAATATCTAGAAACATACACTGTACCAGAACATTTGCCTTGCCAGATCGCGTCATTTCTTTTCTCATTTTTCATATTCTCTATAACTCCAACTCCTAATCCTTCCCTGACCAACTCAGTCCTCCAACCATCTCTTTTAGATTTACCAGAACCTTGCAGCTTGTCCACGACCTGCACAGTCAAGGAACCAAGAAAATACCAATCATAACACAACTGCAACGCTGTGAAGGACAATAACAAGTGAGAAGCAAGTCCAGAGAATAGGCAAAAAGAAATGAATGATTAAAGCATCCTTGTAGCTATTCTACCACAAGAATGTTTTTGTTATTTGATTATTAAGTTTAACAAAACCAAAATTATACACCTACAAAAGCCAAGAGCACAGCTCCAAGACCTACCTAATATATGCACCACATTAGCAGGCATATGCGCATCAAATATTGCAAATCATTGATTCTACTCCACATAGCTTTTGAAATATTGCAAATGTTTCTTTCAAGATTCTATAGTTAGCAAGCTACGGTGCAATTATAAAATGAAAAAGCTAATTTACTTTCTGCTTCGACTATTATACTTATATAAGATTCTAACGCTACACATGACTGCTTCAATGGTAAAATACACTCTAAAAAAAAGAAACTACTTCAATTGACGCTCTAGTGACTTNGCTACGGTGCAATTATAAAATGAAAAAGCTAATTTACTTTCTGCTTCGACTATTATACTTATATAAGATTCTAACGCTACACATAACTGCTTCAATGGTAAAATACACTCTAAAAAAAATAAACTACTTCAATTGACGCTCTAGTGACTCNAAATCTTGAGCCGATTTAACAAAATCCATGGGTTCGAGTTGCTCTTCTTTGTCTATACTTGATGTCTTGAATACTTATCGAGGCAGCAGTCTCTCTAATAAGCTATGCTTTCCTTATATCCTCTGCATCTGGGTTTGTTCTTAAAGAAGCTCTTGTTTCATCTGAACCCATTCTTCATGCTAGACCTCAACCATCTACAACATCNTTTATCCTAAGGGCTTTATTCCAGTTGGTGAGTTGCAGTTTCCTGCCAAGCCAGGGTTTATCTATCCAAGAGCAACTCCAACACAACCTTCCATTTTAGCTACTAAAAATATATTTAAATATTATATTCTCTATTTTNCTATCCAAGAGCAACTCCAACACAACCTTCCATTTTAGCTACTAAAAATATATTTAACTATTATATTCTCTATTTTAGNCAACTCCAACACAACCTTCCATTTTAGCTACTAAAAATATATTTAAATATTATATTCTCTATTTTAGAGTCACTTTTACAAGTTCACTTCAATTACGCTCTCTATTTTAGCTAATTACTTCAACTAACTTTCAATAATTTGAAGGGGATTGTAAAATATATATATAGAGAGAGAGAGAGGGAGAGAAAATTTGGAGAGACTGAATGGCTCTCCAAATTTAGAGAGCCATTTGNGCTAATTACTTCAACTAACTTTCAATAATTTGAAGGGGATTGTAAAATATATATATATAGAGAGAGAGGGGGAGAGAAAATTTGGAGAGACTGAATGGCTCTCCAAATTTAGAGAGCCATTTAGGTGAAATGAGAAATAGAGAGTGCGCTGGAGAGCTTTTTTAGTATTTGGCTACGTAAAATAGCTAAAATGGCTTGCCAAAATATATTTAAATATTGCATTCTCTACTTTAGCTAGCCTTTTCTACAAGTTCACTCCAACCACGCTTTCTACTTTAGTTAACTACTTCAACTAACTTTCAATAATATAATTCGAAAATGTCACATAGTCTAACACGTCAGGGCCATAATGATGACANAAAATGGCTTGCCAAAATATATTTAAATATTGCATTCTCTACTTTAGCTAGCCTTTTTTACAAGTTCACTCCAACCACGCTTTCTACTTTAGTTAACTACTTCAACTCACTTTCAATAATATAATTCGAAAATGTCACATAGTCTAACACGTCAGGGCCATAATGATGACATGACATACTTTATTCACGTAATTCAACCCAAGTATGTATTATCATCAACCCAACCAAAGTCATACCATAATAATAATTCCAAACAAACTTTAAAATTCTAAGAACCATCCATTTTAAGCAATTTAAGAACAACCCCAAATAATATCACTAGATAAGCAACTTTCAATTGCTAAAGAATATATGCTATCAATTAGGGGTGACAATTTTTGACACAACACGATAACTTGATACGAAACACGATACGAATAAATAGGTTTGGGTTGACTAATTTTTTGTGTCAACTCGTGTACGACACGACCCGTCAACACGAAATGTTAATGGGTCATGTTCGGGTTCAACCCGTTTAACNCTGAAAGAAGATCCAAAACATACTTTCTCTGAGAAAGAACAACACCCCTGCCGCTATATGTAACCTCAATCCTAAGAAAGTATCGCAGAAATCTAAGGTCCTTCACATCAAAGGCCTTCCCAAGGTCTATCTTGACCTGCGCAGTCCCAGAAACATCATCACTAGTAATAATAATATCATCAACATATACCAGAAGGATGACACACTGTCCAGAAGTATTTCGTCGAATAAAGCAAGTATGATCAGAATGACACCTGNACATGAATTGACCCATCAATACAGTTTTTAACTCGAAGGAGATTGACCTGGCATTTTCGTTGCATGTATGAGTTTTCATGTTTTGATGACTTGTTTTTTCCATTACTTATGATGTTTAATTTGGTTGTGCGATATACGATTAACATATTTAATTAGTATTATAGAAATAAAATATTAATTATTTGTAACTGTTTATCAACCACTGACATAATTATTGTATAAAAAAGATATTGTTACTCATTATTATTATTATTAAGTTAATTTTTAGTTTGTAGAAAAAGTATGAAGAGAGATTCAATTAAGTAAAATAAAATCTTAGCATTAAATTTTGTATTCAAAATTTATATGGATCAACACGAATATGAACACGAACACGACAAGAAAATAAACAGGTCAACTCAACACGACGCGAATAGTTAAATGGGTTGAGTATGGGTTGACTAATGTTCGACACGACTAATATTTGACACGACACGAACCCGACACAACACGACTCGATTGTCACCCCTACTATCAATCTAAAAGCATCAACAAGAAACAACAAATTCAACATGGTATGAGTATTCATGTTCAAAAAGGGAAGGTCAGTGATAGAGGAAGTGTGAGATGAGCTTGCAAGGGAAATTGGGGAGGACAAGATTGAAGTCAAAGCACTGAAGAAGGAATCCATGAAACTTTGGGAGAAAGTGGAAGATGGTTGAGGTCTGGCATGAAGAACGGGTTCAAATGAAGCTAGAGCTCTTTTAGAGCAAACCCAGATGCAGTGGACATGAGGAAAGCAGAGCTACTTCAAGAGGTTGTTGCCTCGGTAAATATTCAAGACATCAAGCAAACTTAGAATTGTTGATTCACCCCAATTTCTTGCTGATTCACCCCAATTTCATCAACACACATATGTACAACACAAGTATTGACAAAGAGGAGCAACTCCAACCCATGGGTTTGGTTAAATCCGCTCAGGTTTTGCAAATTTGAGCACTAGGCTTTCTATCAGCTCCAAGGTTTTGTCGACTCAGGCAAAGACAGCTCTATACTTGGGTGAAGACGATGAAGCCTCTGTGTGATGAAGACAATCAAGCACAGTCGAAGAAGACGAAGACCATGGGCACAAAAGAGCAAGTACCGAGTGAGAATTGTCTCGCCAGAAAGTGCAATTGAAAAATGAATTTGGTAAAATGGCTAGGGGGATAAAGAACCGGTTGGAGAGAATATTTAGGACCAACCGGCTAGCTAAAATTGGTTAGAGTTGCTCTAACTCCTAAATATTCTTTTCAACCGACTCTCTATCTCACTAGCCATTTTACCAAATTCATTTTTCAATTGCTACTTNGACACGACCCGTCAACACGAAATGTTAATGGGTCATGTTCGGGTTCAACCCGTTTAACATGAATTGACCCATCAATACAGTTTTTAACTCGAAGGAGATTGACCTGGCATTTTTGTTGCATGTATGAGTTTTCATGTTTTGATGACTTGTTTTTTCCATTACTTCTGATGTTTAATTTGGTTGTGCGATGTACGATTAACATATTTAATTAGTATTATAGAAATAAAATATTAATTATTTGTAACTGTTTATCAACCACTGACATAATTATTGTATAAAAAAGATATTGTTACTCATTATTATTATTAAGTTAATTTTTAGTTTGTAGAAAAAGTATGAAGAGAGATTCAATTAAGTAAAATAAAATCTTAGCATTAAATTTTTTATTCAAAATTTATATGGATCAACACGAATATGAACACGAACACGAACACGACAAGAAAATAAACAAGTCAACTCAACATGACGCGAATAGTTAAATGGGTTAAGTATGGGTTAACTAATGTTCGACACGACTAATATTTGACACGACACGAACCCGACACAACACGACTCGATTGTCACCCCTACTATCAATCTAAAAGCATCAACAAGAAACAACAAATTCAACATGGTATGAGTATTCATGTTCAAAAAGGGAAGGTCAGTGATAGAGGAAGTGTGAGATGAGCTTGCAAGGGAAATTGAAGAGGACAAGATTGAAGTCAAAGCACTGAAGAAGGAATCCATGAAACTTTGGGAGAAAGTGGAAGATGGTTGAGGTCTGGCATGAAGAACGGGTTCAAATGAAGCTAGAGCTCTTTTAGAGCAAACCCAGATGCAGTGGACATGAGGAAAGCAGAGCTACTTCAAGAGGTTGTTGCCTCGGTAAATATTCAAGACATCAAGCAAACTTAGAATTGTTGATTCACCCCAATTTCTTGCTGATTCACCCCAATTTCATCAACACACATATGTACAACACAAGTATTGACAAAGAGGAGCAACT